AAAACTCTCAGCTATTTCTCTAGTACCATGTGTGCCTGTGTACATCCATACTTCTTTCCATGATGATAATGGACTAAACTTCTGAAACTGTAAGTAAGCCATCAATTAAATGTTTTTTTCTTATAAGAGTTGCCATGGTCATGGTATGTCTTCACCACAACAGACAATACCAAGATAACCTCTTACTCCTACTCACTCCAGCTCCTCCCAGACCCACCTCCCATCTTCTTACTCCCTCACAACTTTGTGTCCCCTCTGTCTCTGTCTCTCTCTCTCTCACACACACACAACTTACCAAGTCAGTTTGTGCTGTCCATATATTCCTGAATGTGGGGCCATAAACTGGAGTCTGATCACCCTATTAGGGGCCACACCCTTAATGAAAACTGACGCTTCCTTCACCAGAAGCCAACAGCTGTCAATAACTCCTCAGTTATGGGTAGGAGCCTATGAGCTCCCCTCTCTACTCTGTGCTAGAATACTGACAAGCTTGGTCTTTGTAGGCAACTACAGGTGCTTGAGTTCTTGATGTAGTGGTCCTGTCAAGTCCTGGAGACTGTTTTACTCTGGTCCTTCCCAACCTCTTGCTCTTACAATCTCTGTCTCCTCTTCCAAGACAGAACCTGAACCATGGGTGGGGGAGGAGTGATAAAGATGTCCCATTTGTGGCTGAATGCTCCACTGACACTTCGCTCTTGTACTTTGAATATTTGTGAGTTTCTGCAATAGCTGCCATCCACCATGCAAATAAACTTCTCTGATGTGATCTAAGTGCTGCACTAGTGTACAGTTATGAAGATACAAATTTAGAGGGTAGTTTGATACTGTGTTTATTTAGCAGAATAATCATTTTTCTCTGGGGCCTGTAAGCTACTCAGCCATGGGTTCTTGGCCAGGTATAGAACCAGGCCTTTGATTCCTCCCGTGGGCTTAAATCCAAATGAGAAAGAGTGGTTATTCTCCTAACATTTGTGCTACTATACACCCATGGACATATCTAGTCATACTAGTCATTATTGTAGTTTACAGGGTTAACAAATGGACGAGACTGTTGATGACTTTCTCCCCACAGCAGCCTACATAGCACCTCCTGATACCATGAAAGCTAGCTAGCAGGAAGGAAGCTTCATGGTCAGTACCAACTTGATTTCTCCATGTCTTATAACCTAAGTGTGTGCCATCTTCAGCAATAGGGCCTTGTGATCAAGTTCTGGTGGGCAACCAAGAGCAGTGGTCATAACCTGCATTATGTTGGGGCCTTCCTGGATAGCCCTGACTGGGATCTCTATTTGGCAACTTGTGGCTTCTTAGAGGAGCACTGACCCTTGTGTAGGGTAATAGCAATTAAATTCATTTGCATGTGTGCATGCGTGTGTGTGTGTGTGTGTGTGTGTGTGTGTGTGTGTGTGTGTGTGTGTGTGTATGTGTGTGTGTATGTGTGTATGGTGTGTATGTAGTAAGAAATACAAAATAGATTTTCATATGTCCTTTTCAAATATCTTAGTGTTAGTTAGCCCTTCACCACTTCCTCCTTTGTCCTGCCCTACCATCTCTCCACCCACCTAAACTTCCTCCCATTATTTCACTTTCCCCCTTGATATTATTGTTTGTGTTCTACTATCCCCCTGTCCCAGTTAGTTTTTTTTTTTTTTTTTTTTTTTTTTTTTTTTTTTTTTTTTTTTTGCTAACTTGACACAAGCTAAAGTTATCTGGGAAGAGGAATCTCAGTTGAGAACATGCTTCCATCAGATTGGCCTGTAAGCAAGTTTTTAGAACAGGGTGAGCCCTCTGGGGGCATTGCCACCCATGGTTAAGTGATTCTTCCTGGTATAAGAAAGCAGGCTGAGCAAATGACAGGGACCAAGTCAGAGAGGAGCACTCCTCCATGACTCCTTGTTCACTTTCTGTCTCCAGGTTCCTGCCTTGAGTTCCTGCCCTGACTTCCTTCAGTGATGGACTGTAACTGTGAACCAAAAGAGACACCTTCCTTCTCAAGTTGCTCTTGATTACAGTGTTTAAGAAAACAGGACACCTCCTCCATTAAGATCTCTCTTCCTCCTCCCCACCAATACCCCTTTCTAGTTTCCTGGATTCTAGGGATATTCCAAATTAAACACATAAATCTAAAGATTCGATGCTAGGATACACATTTGAGTGGGACAAACACATATGTTTGTCTTTTCGGAACTGGGTTATTTCACTCAGTATAACATTTTCTAAGCATCCATTTTCCTGCAAATTCCATCATTTCATTTTTTCTTTATAGCTGAAGAAAATTCCATTGTGTACAGCTACCACATTTTCATTATCCATTGTAATTGAGCTTTTTAAACTCCTCTGTCTGTTCTCATCATGCTGTAAGGTTGATTTGTTGTTTGTGTTTAGACTGAACCATAGCATGTACTGACTATTCTTTCCTGATCCTCATTTTCTGCCTAGGATACATTGTCTGTTTTCCTAAAGTAGATTGTTTAGTAACTAACTCCCTCAAGTTCACTTTTCTGAGATACCAATGTTATGGCTTACAAATGTAGTAATGATGTAGTTCCTAGAATAGGAAGGCCCTAACTGATGCACAATCTTATTTTAGCAACATTTCTGTTGCTGTAACAGAATGTCTGGACAAGAAGCAATTTAGGGGATAAAGAGTTATTTGGTTTACAGTTCTAGGTTACAGTCTATCACTATGGTAAATCAGGGCCAGGAGCTTGAAGCTGCTGGTTATATCACATCTACAGTCAAGAGCAGAAAATAAGTGAAAGTGTGTATGTTTAGTGCTGAGTTAGGTTTCTCTAATTTTATACAGTTCAGTATTACTGTATATACTCTATTTTTATGTGGCCCACTTTTCTGCTGGGTCTTTCTGTTGCAGAATATATGTTTAACTGTGCAAAATTGTGTTGCATTTTTTAACAATGTAAAGATGTATTGCATTTGTTTATGTTATGGAATATTTGTTTAACTATGAAAAGGTGTGATATATTTGTTTAATTATGTAAAGATGTATTGCTGTTTTACCTTACCTGCCTAAGGCACCTGATTGGTCTAATAAGCTAAATGGCCAATCACGAGGGAGGAGGTATAGGTGGACTTCTGGGCAAGAAGAGTAAGTAGAAGGAAGAATTTAGGCTCAGGAGAAGATAGAAAAGGAAGAGAATAAAGAGATGCTATGGGCCAGAAAGACAGACATAGAGGAAGCAGGAAAGTTGAACATAAGAGTGAAAGAAAGATAAAAAGCCCTAAGACAAAATGTTGATGAATTGAAACAGGTTAAATTAAATTAAAAGAGCTAGTGGGACAAGCCTAAGCTAAGACCAAGCATCCATAATTAATAATAAGTCTCCATGTCTTTATTTGGGAGCTGGTTGGCAGCCAAAGAAAATACCAACTATGTCTTCCCACATCAGTTAAGGAATTCAAGATAATTCTGCGTAGACATGCACACCCACGAGTCTGATCTAGAGTGTCTCGGTGATTTTACATTGTGTCAAGTTGAAAATTAAAACTAACTATCACAGAACAATTCTTCTGTGCTTCTTATTTGGAATCTCTCTATGGTGCAGCTCTGGCATGGGACACTGTACTTTCTTTAGGTGTTCTGTGGATAGGAGGCCTTCCTTCTCCTCCTCTATCTCCTTGACTATCCACTTTGCCTGATTTGGGAGAGCTAGCCAGCTTGGTTGCCATTTGTTATGAGTCCTCTGAGAAGATGTAGGCAGTAGCCCCCCAGCATGTTGACTGTCTTTAAAAGGGGTATTGGCAATGAGGGTACAGGTGTGCCCTACCTCAGGCACAAGGAACATAAAGGGTATGACTCTTGTTAAGGAGGCAAGTAGGTATACAGAGGGGGCTGTGTTTCAATTTATTACTCTTCCAAAACAGCAGAAGACCCACCAAACCCACGACTATTACCAGGACCCAAACCAACTAACCAACTAAATACATCTGGAACGTTTTATTGGATTTGGAAGCCATAATGTACCTGTGGAGTAGATCTGGGTTATAATCACATGAATATCAAAGAGCATCAGAGAAATGAATCGTTTGTCAGAGGATCCTTTGGTGTGGGGAGGTGCTGAAGAACAAATCTACCTCTTCTGGTTCCCTCTCCCCTTCCTATCTTCCTAATCTCCAGAATTTGACCCACCAAATACTTGGCTTTTCCCAGTCACTTGGATGAAGGCATCTTTATGAAAGCATTTCTTTGGAGTGCTGCCAATGCATAAGTAATTCCAAGGCCAGACGACCTCCATAATCTGCTGGTACCACATGGCATAGGTTGAAGCACCTTAGAAAGTTCTTGTCCTTGTGTGAGATGGAGTTTCATTATTTGTCCCACTAAGAAACCTTGTGCTCAGTGTGCATAGGCATCCGGAGGGAGCTTCCTTCATGCACAGGGGCTGCATGTGCCCCAGGACAGCTATGAAGAAAATTGTAAACATACTCAAAACATTATGATTGTGCATTATTTCTGGGTGAACTTCTTTTGAGGACAATGTTGTGCTTCAATGTCACAAGGTTGGACCCTCCTGTCTTAAGAGAAAACACTATTCAGGTTTCATCTACTGTACCAGGTCATTGTAGCATGGTTCTCCATCATTTTGGCTAGCCATTAACTCTGGGCTGTAAGACTCTCTAGTATTTGTAATCAATAGGTGCTATAATTCCAGCTCATTAGTAATTCCTTGCTTACCTAATTAATCCAAATTAGTGTGGTTTAATTTGGAGGAGAGCATGCTCCACTCTGGTTCTTGTAGGAATGCTATCCTCAGGCTCACAGCTGATTGTTCTGGGTCAGTAAACTTCTGCCATAGCAGGCAGCAACCAGCCAACCCCTAAGGCCCTTCTCTTCCCTTCCGTATCCCAGACAGCATGGTTGGCTTGTGAACTGATCCAGAGAGAAATGGGTGGGAGATGACTTGGCAGTGGAGTAGAAGGAGGAACAGAACCTATAAAGCCCTTTTAATTTTTTCACTTTCCTTTTTTTTTTTTTTAATTAGGAATTATTAGCCGAGAGAATGCAGAAGACCTTTTGGAGAGTATGACCGAGGGAGCATTTCTGGTCCGGGTCAGTGAGAAGATCTGGGGTTACACCCTGTCCTACCGCCTACAGAGGGGCTTCAAGCACTTCCTTGTGGATGCCTCTGGGGACTTCTACAGTTTTCTGGGAGTGGATCCTAATCGCCATGCCACCCTCACAGATCTCATTGATTTTCACAAGGTACCCCTCTTTGAAGTGTTAGTAGGGTATGGATGGATTGGCAGAAACTTGGGCTGAAGAGAGCCCAGTGCAAGTGCAGCAGGGGCAGGCTACAAGCCTAAGGCTGCAGAATCTCTGAACTATGGCACATCCAGGTAGAAGAGACCAGAGGTGGTCCAGGGCAGGGTCTGGGGCCCATGCTTTCCCCTCTGCCTCATGCCTCATGGTTTGACCCCTGTGCATCTGTAACCCCACTCTCAGGCCTCTCTCCTTTGAGTGCCTATTGTCAGCACAGGGACTGACAGTTGGCTCTCTGTCCAAGTCCTTGTCTTTGTCTCACTTCTCTGAACAACTGCTGCCCAGAATTCTGGCAGCTTTGAAGCTAGCTAGAGTGCAGCAAGCATCCATGTAGCTGTAGAAACTTATCTCCACCATAGAGTCACCACTTTTCCTGTCTGAACTTGCTTTTCCACTTGGGACATGTGTGACCTTGGCCAGGTCACTTAGTCTTGCTGAGATTCTGTGTCCGCTGCTTTTGTTGCTATTACAACCGAGCAAAATATATTGAAAAATTTATAAGGAAAAGAAACCCATTTTTTCACAGTTTCAGAATCGGAGAAGTCCAAGACGGAGGGACTGTCATTCACAGAGGGTTTTCTTGCTACATCCATCTCCTGGTAGAATGTAGAAGAGCAAATGAGAGAGAGGAGAGAGACAAGAGAATGGGCAAGAGCAAGAGGGGGCCAAATATGGACCTACGGAGATGGCTCAGTAGGGAGGGCCTTGCTGTGTGAGCATGAGGCCTGAGCTCAAATCCCCGACACCCATGTGGAAGCCAGTCATGGCAGCACACACTTGTACCCCAGTGCTAGGGTGAGAGTGAGGTGGTAGAGACAGGCACATCCTGAGGGCTCCTTGACCAGCCAGTATAGCCAAAACAGCAAGTTCCAGGCTCAGAGGAGAGGCCCTGTCTCAAAATTTAAGTTGGAGAGTGACCTATGGCTTCCACACTTTCCTATGTGCACAGGCAAGATCACTCTCACATACACATGCAGACATATGCATCCCCCTATACACACATGCACAAGAGCACACTCACTTCATAACAAGGAGCCCATTCCGGAGATAATGGCTTTGATCTCCTTGTGGAGGCAGAACCCTTTGACCTGATTGCCTCTTCTGGGTCCTGTCCCTTAAAACTGTCAAATTGCAATTATGTTTGGAACACATGCTTTTGGGGAGCCTATTCAAAGCATAAAATCAAGCATATGAATACACATAGTGCTTATTTGAAATCTTGTGGACTTTAAACAAGATTATATCCATAACTGCATCCTGTGACTGTCCACTGAGTATGGAGATCCTGTGTCCAGAACTCTGTCATTTCTCCCATCTCATTGACCCACATCAGGAAAGATGCTGCCTTGCAAATGTCTCACATATAGCATAGTGAGAAGCAGTTTTTGTGTTAATGCAGTTGTTGGCAGTTGTCATAACTGCAAAATAGTGGTACCTCCTCAACAAGAATGGAATGTCTGAGGGATTCTGAGATAGTTATGAGACCTCCAGGTCTAACATCTAATGAGTTTCACAAGTGTAGAAGGTGTCACAGAATTGCTTGTACTTAGATTTTTCTGTAATAGCATCTCTTGGATTGTATATTGCTTTTTAAAAATTTTATCTGTTCTCAGAAGACACCAGGCCTTGAGATATACCTCCTCACCTGGCCTTATGAATAAAAAAAAAACATAGAAAATCACCTATCTATCTAGGCATATTGGGAAACACTTGTAATCCCAACACTGTGGATGCTGAGGCAGGAGAATCACCAGTTCAAGGGAAGCTTGGGTTAAATGGCTCTAAATAACAACAAACTCCCTAACCAACCAACCAACCAAAGCAGCAGCAGCAACAACACTACACCAAATACAGAGAGAGAGAGAGAGAGAGAGAGAGAGAGAGAGAGAGAGAGAGAGAGAGAGAGAGAGAGAGAGAGAGAGAGGACAGAAGAGAAAATTGTTCATTCATAGATACCTGGGCTCAGAGTACTACTGTGGAACTAGACTTGGTCAGGGTGGATTTCTACTTGTGTTGGGAAGGATCTTCTAACAGCCACAGGAAGGAGGAAAGAAGGGAGTATGTGGATTCTGGTAGCACTGTTCTGGATCAAGCATATATGCCCTCATAATCACTGTGACCCCTATGTTATGGAGGCATCTTGGCCCTCTTCACAGACCAGTATCCATGCTCAGCTCTCAGGGCAGGTTCTGCACAGGAAGCCAGACCAGATGTCTCAGAAAGGCTTTCTTCATTCCAAATTCAAATTCTGGAGATCCATGATTTTACTTCTAGCCCTACACAGAGATATCATCTATGCCCACATGGAGGTCTGGTGGTCAGTTTTGATAAATTAAATTTTAATTACACCATTAGTTCATGATTACATTAATATGTGAGCCTCATTCATTTCAAGCATCCAATTCCATCTTTTACCTTGAATTACTAATGAGCCATGTGTTATTTGCTAGACAGTAGTAGCAAAACTCATGCACATATGAAAAAAGAGCTTTGTGATTTTTTTTTGAGGCAGGGTTTCTCTGTATAACAGGCTGTCCTGGAACTTGCTTTGTATACCATTTTAGCCTCAAACTCACACATCTGCTTCTACCAGTGCCATCATGCCTGCATAGTAGTTTTGTGATTTTCATAGCATATAACTCATTAACCTCCAACCCTATGGCACCAATTTATGGTCCCCAGAATCTGAATGTCAAGTTTAAACCCCAACTTCATTATCATGCATGGTTTTGGGTTACTATTCAGGCGTTTGTGGCTCAGTTTCCTCTTCAGTAGGGTGGATTCAGTGGCATCCCTGTGAGATGTCAATGAGGTATCACTGTGTAGAGTGATGAAAAAAATATTATCACAACATCAGTAGGTGGCTGTCTGTTAGTAAAGTACAGTTAGGAGGGGTTGGAAATGATGGTAAGTTATTAGAATGCTTGGGTAGCACAAAGCCCTGGGTTTCATCCCCAACATCGCATAAACTGTGTGTATAAGTGAGTCTGTGATCTCAGTACTCAAGAGGGAGCGAAAGGAGGATAAAATATTCGAGGTGATCTTCAGCTACATAGTGAGTTTAAGGCTAGCCTGTGACTCATAAGAACCTGTCTCAAAATTATGTCTGGCAGATTTTTCCACATTAGTATATATACTAGACCTTGTAAATGCTCCATGGATTCTCTGGTATGGGCATAGAGTACAGCATAATTACTCATACTCCTCTTGTGCCCATCTCTCCACCTTCCAGTTTCATGATCATGAACAGTGTTTCAGAGACATCTGTACTATGTATATGTCACTTTGTCACTATGGATACATATGCAGCATTTTCCAGGATAAATTCCTTGAACTGAAATTGCTGGAAAGAAAAGTATGCACATTTTAATTAAAGAAGACCTGCCAGCTTGCCATCCAAAAACATGGCACCGATTCATGTTCCTGCTAGAACTATATGAGGCTGTTTCTTCCATCACATGGGCAGACACTATAGCTCACTTTTGTCCAGTTTACACTTTTTCATGGCCACTGATGCTGAGGTGTCTTTTCATATACTTAATGGCTACTGCCAGTTAGTCACTTGTAAATTCTCCTTTCTTATTCACAGTCCATTTTCTATTTTAGGTATCTTTTTCTTGATATTACAATTCCTGTACCTACCAAATTGCTCTTCAGTTACATCTATTCGGCTGAAAATATTTTTAATTTAAACAGCCATGTTTTTCAATTGCATGCTCATTTTTTTCTTATAACAGCCCACTCTTGTTTCATGGATGACTTATTCTGTTGAGAAAGATAATGTAGATCTCTTAAAGCTTCCTTCTGTTTCCTTCATAAGCTTGGTATTTTCTTAGAAATCTGTTGAACTATTGAGTTTGGCATTTTTCTGTTATCATTGAGGTGGTCCTTAAATGCTTCAAGACTGAGACAGTCTTCCAACTTTCAATCTCAAGTTTATCAGTGAATAGACATTTTCTGCTTTCCAAATCCAGTGGCCAGTGCCAACAATGAGTAGCTCTTTGAAGAGTATGAAAATGTCTGTACTTTGGGTCTCCTCAGTTTCACCAAGAATGGGGGCAAACATTTATTGGAGTTGTATCCCCAATCTGTCTGCAGCTTGCATTTCTTCTCAATCTATTTTTTTTCAACAGTTATTTTACAATTTTACTTGTTGGTGGCCTTCCTTCTTATTTTCTTATATAGCACTGATACATTTCTTCTTAAAAGATTTCTCCTTTTATTTCTGGAAAGTTGAGTGAGGGAAGGTAGATGCACATGGCCTTAGTCTTTCTGTCTCTAGTTCTCTACCTGATTGCCCATGAATATTTTTATCTCTTCTTGCTCCTAATTGGATTTCCTTTCTTCTTTTTTCCCTTTAGGAGGAAATAATCACTGTTTCAGGGGGAGAGTTGCTGCAGGAACCCTGCGGACAGAGGGATAGCCCACCAGACTATCACCTGTTGTTTGAATGATGTTTTTCCTCTTCCTCTTTGGACTCCTTTGAATATCCCAAACTTGAACTGAGCTTAAGAATATCCCCACTCAAAGCCTCATGGCCTTCTAGAAGATCCATCATTCTTCAGATGAACAATGGTATTAGTGAATCTCCAGAATGTTACAAAATATGACTACATTTATGAGACTGGTCCCATTCCAAAGCTCAAGACAGAAACCTGAAATAACCAATGCTCCTGGAAGCCTGTCTGTCATGGCTGTTCTAAGCCAAACTTCTAGAGTGAATGGATTATGTTTTACTAACCCAAAACAATTCCAGTGCCGAACTTTACATTTAATATAGGTTTGTTAGTTGAGTGAATGCTCGTCTGAAAAAATGCCCAACACCAATGTGCAATGGTTTCTAGCAAATCATTTTCTATACCACATCATAAAGCCACAGAGATCACAAGTACGCTTGTGACTAACTTACATGGAAGACACAGATTTTGCATCTGTCCTAGTGTTCATGAGCTTGTTGATACTATCATGAGAATTGCCTAAGGTTTCTAAGCTCGGAACAGGAGACTGACTCTGTGCTATCTTCCTTGTTAAATCACTTCTACCTATCTCATATCTTGGCTCCGGTTTTGTAATTTTGAGGTAGTGATTTCATGTGAATGAATATACAAGATCTGGTATAGATTATAAATCCAAGGATGGGTTTTCCAAACTTGATGAGGCATTGGCTGTCTAGGATGCTCTCATTTAAAGGGTTAGCTCTGTTTTCACTCTAATTCTTCTGTCTCCTTAATCTGAACATGTTCTTCATATAATGAGAGTAAGCTCCCAATAACTCAGTAACTCTCAAGAATGGTATATAATTTAAGCATAATCCCTTATGCATGTTCCCTTATGGCCACAGACAAGCAGATAGCAGACGTGACAGTTTGGATTGCACCAAAAGGACAGATGGACTCTGCAAACATCAAGGAGTGTTTCACCTGCTTGGAGAGTTGCATCAGGTGTCTATCATTCTCCACTCAATCTCTCGGCTCTTCTTTTTCTCTCATCTTTGGCCACTCGTGCTATCACCCACCCCCATGCCTATCACTGCAGTCAGTGTGTGACTGACTCGGCTTTTGTTCATTCACTGTGTTCTTCGGCCTCACTTGTACATATGCCGATGACACTTGGCCATGCATGGTTTTTAGGGGGCACTTATTTATTTATCCTTTAAACAGTTCTTCTTTATTCTTCAGAATTTCATACATCTGTAGAATAAAAACTTGATAAATTGATAATATTTACTGCCCCCTTCCCCCATCCTCCCCCTGTATTCACCCCAGTATGCTCCCAACATCATGTATTTATAAAACATAACGAAGTGCAATAGTGCTGCCCATATGTACATGGGTGTAGCCTTTCATTGCACAATGGAAATCTTACTAGGGGCCACATCTTCAAAGAATAGTGACTATCTTTCCCAGCAACTGTCAACTCCCAGTACTTCCTCAGTAAGGGCCAGGACCAGAAGGCCGCTTTTATAGTTTCTTCTCTTACAATTTGAGCAAGACTTACATGTAGCATCTGGTATTCTCTTAAGTCTCAGATAACACCCCTTTTCCTTTTACTGGGCCCATGATTTATTGTATAAATTGGGCAGTTCTGCAAAATAACCTGTGTTCCAGATTTGTCTTATTGTTTCTTGCTGTTATTTTTATATTGACTCTGTTTCATTTTTCTTGACTTGATGAGATTGAGATTGAATTTTTGGGTAAGGAAACATTTTTAGTACATCATAGCATCTTTATGACACATTGGCCCAAATTTTCTAGGCTTCTTCATCAGTGGACTCAGAATATCTCAGTCTAATTACTCCAGTTGTCCTTCATCACCCTTGTGTTTTTTTTTTGAGATAGGATCTCATGTTATGCATCATGACCCTAAACTCACTATGTTGAACTCCCAATCTTCCTGACTCCATTCCCATCTGCTGGGATTTTAAGTGTGTACCACTATGGTTGTGTCCTTTTTTTTTTTAACCACTCCCCCTTTTTTTAATTTTTTGAGACAGGGTATCTCTGTGTAGCTTTGCGCCTTTCCTGGATCTCGCTCTATAGACCAGGCTGGCTTCGAACTCACAAAGATCCACCTGCCTCTGCCTCCCAAGTGCTGGGATTAAAGACGTGCGCCACCACCGCCCGGCTTCACCTCCCCCTTTTTGTGAAAACAAACAAACAAAAAAGGATACCATTTATTTACCCCCTGTTGCTGCAGTGAACCTTGGGTTAATGCTCAGGTTGGTCAATCACGTCTTCTTCCTTCATCCTCCTGGAGGGACTGTTCTGAAATCAGCTCTTGATGTGGTCTCTGAGAAGACAGTCATGCAAGACAGAGTAGCCAGGTCCACTGATACCCCTGCTGTCACTCATTCTCTGCCTCTTACCTCTCTGGGATGTTCTTCTGGGATGCCACCCCCGAGCCCAGTAGTTATTTTGCTTAGTTTTTACCTTTTGGGAACCAAAAGTAAGTACCTACCATACAAATATGTATTTTACTTTTTGTGCCTTGAGTCAGGGTCTTCCCAGGTAGCTCAAGTGGCTTGGAAATTATTATGTAGCTCAGGTCTGGTCCTGAATTCATGATCTTCCTATGTTAGCCTCTTGTGTGATGGGATGACGTGTGTGTGACACCATAACCAGCCCCAATCTGTTCAGTAATATGATTTTATGTATCATAAAATACATATTCCAAAGCTTCCCTGCAGTCAGCCTGCACCATGGCAGGAATGAAATGAAGTGATGGTGGAGAGACCCTGATTTCTGAACTCTATGGTACTCTCAGACCATAGCCAAGTGCTATCCCAATTATGTTATTTCTACTCAGAAGACCCACTTTCGTTCTGACTTGGCTATGTATCAGCCGTGTGAAGTTGTTCAGGTCACTGAATCTCACTAAACCTCTGTGTAACTGGGAAGAGGATTTTTTGTGTGGTCATCATTAGTTTCTTCTGGCTGATCAATTAAGTGACAAATAGGGTCCCTCTGTCCAAATGAAAGACCTTGCTATCCACAACCACACAGTGGCAGCCTCCTGCCAAGTAGTGCTGTGTCAGGGGATTCCACGAGATGATTTCCCCCACACTGGAGGAAAGTTCTAAGAGCAGCTTTGAAAGGAGTCCAGGATGGGTTGAAAACCTGACATCCTGGCTGTGGTTCCTGTCGACTGCTAATTAATATGCGAGAGATAACAGCTGAATTTTCCATCTCGAACGCATTTATTTCATTTTCTTTGGGGCCTGCACTTTCTGCACGTCTCATATATTTTAGGTTTTACCTGGCTTTCAAATAAATTCCTTGTAAGTTGTCCTGCAAATGAAATTACTGTCTGGAAAACTGCAATTTCATCTTGAGAGTTTTATTATGCTAATAAATGTCAGAATTCTCAAATAAAGGAATGGTCTCCCCCCTTTTTCCCTGAGCCTTACAAATACAATGAAAAATAGTCAGTCAGCTCCCAGACTCAGCAGAAGGAAAATTTACAATCTATAACTAGAAAGAGAAGCTGTAAAAAACAATATGCGTCTTAATGGAAGATAAATTTCATGGAATTAAAGAACAAATTGGGGTACAGATTCTTGGAGATTCCTGTGTGACGGTATTCTTAGGGGATATTGAAGAGTTCATGAGCTAAAAGGGGGCTAGGGAGAGAGCCGGTCTTTAGAAGCATATCTTGTGGTGATGACCTGGGGCCTGGGGGACTTTGTATACCTTTGTCCACTTGAACCTTTCCTTTCTTTCAAGACTGACATGTAATTCTGGATGAGTTTCTCCTTTTTCTCTACTATTTTAGTAAATATATTGCTTGTTTCAGAGGATGGGTATGAAAACCACCTAAGTTTTGTAATGATAATAACTCTTGTTCTCAGTGATGTATGTGTGCTCGAATGAGTGTGCATTTTCACAAGATGCTTGAGGGAGATAATGCATATGGGGAAATTGAGGCACAGAGAGGCTCAGATTTTTCCAGGTCATCTCTCTGTCTAGGAACAGTACCTAGATTGATCACAGTCTGACCGCTGAGTCTATGTAGACTTTACACCAGTGCTCTTAAAGTAGAACATGTGGGCGGCACCCCACTGATTCTTCCTTCTGTATTTCTTACAGATGCTGCATGGTTGGTGGACTGTGGACTGAACTTTGAGAAATCAGTTTTCTAAGGCAGGAATTGGGGGCTAGGCATGTAGCTCAGTTTATAGAGTGCTTGTTGAGCATGCATGAAGTTCTGGTATTAATTCTCAGTACCACATAAATTAAACATGGTGATGCACACCTATAATCTCATCACTTGAGGGAATTAGAAGTTCAAGGCCAGCCACAGTTATATAGGAAATTCAAAGTCAGCCTTGGCTGCATAGGGAGTTCAAGGCCAGTCTATGATACAGGAGACTCTGTCTCCAAATATAAAATTAAAAAATATAAAGCACGAGGCAGATGATTAGAGCTGCAAACCAGATTTGGCCATTTGTAGGGGTTTCCTCAGGCTGTGAGATAAGAATGACTTTTGTATTTTGAAATAGTTGGAAAGAATTAAAGTGAACAATAATTTATGGCCTGTGAAAATTACATTAAACTCAAATTTCAATGTTCATCTATAAGGTTTTATTGTCATATAGCCACACTCATCTGTTTGTATATTATTTTTGGCTGCTTATGACCTACAAGGCTAAGTTGTTTATTACCTGGCCTTTTTAAGAACAAGCATGCTGACTCCTGCTTTAAATTATGGTGCATCTATTACAAATCATTTTGCTTCCTTTCTCTGCTTCATTGAGATCTTAGTGTTCAGGTCAGCTTTCCATAACCGTGACAAAATATTCCAGAGAGACAATATAAGAGGAAGAAAGTGCTTTGACTTGTGCCTTCAGATTGTGGTCACTGAGAACCCTTGCTTTGGGCCTGGGTGGCACAGAGTAGCAGGGAGAATGTGACAGAGGAGGCTGGTTTAACTCCTCACCCCAAGGCATATCTGCAATTACCTAACTTCCTTTCACTAGGCTCTGTCTCTTAAAGGGTCTGCCTCCTTCTCATAGTGCTGCAGAATAGGGGCCAAGTCTGTAATAGGTAGGCCTCTGGGGGAGTCTTCCAAACCACAGGACTTAGGAAAGATTCTAACACCACAGTTTATGCTTCAGAGAAACCTAAGTAAATACATTAAATTTTGTAGCAATCTTTCCATTTTAATTTTGAATTGTAGTTCATTTCTAGTATTTTACAAAGTGGATTATATTTCTTGTTCTGGGATTCTAGTCAAATGTAAGCAAGGAGTATTACAATTGCATAGACATGTTGCTTAGTCATATGATCACTTAGGACATAGGCAAAACTGCTTTATGTGTTTTGTCTTCTAATCTGTGAGGCCCTGGGAAATC